GTTTGTACCTTTGAACAGAGACTAGAGATGATTGAATTATTCATTTGTTAAAGCCACTATTTACAGCTACAAATTTAAGGAAAATCACTTACTGGAAACATCTTTTTAACAAATATTTATTTTGTTAGGTGACTCCTCTTTATGATAGTGATATAAAATCTTCTCATTCAATTCATTAATGAATTGAAAAACAAGATAATTAAAAAATATTTAAATAATATGGGTGGCAGAGTTATGGCAAACATTTGATATTGGTTATGACTGACTTTAGCTTTAGAAATCTACATAAACTTTTTGAAAGCAATATGTGCATAGGTAGATGTCGTATTACTATATACATAAATACATGTCTATATATTTTTCAAACACCAAAAGGGACTTGCAATTGTGAAAATTCTCTTAGCTAATGAACTAACAAGCATGAAAAAACGTGGAGGAAATGTAAATGCGTACTACGAAGTGAAAGAAGCCCATCTAGAAAGGGCACATACTATGTGACCTCAATCATATGCGTCTGACATTCTAGAAAAGGCAAAACTATGGAGACAGTAAAAAGGTCCGTTGTTGCAGGGGTTGCAGAGAGGGAGTTTGGGGGGGGGGCATGAAGCTGCTCTTACTATAATGGTGCAGACATGTCATCATACGTTTGTCTAAATCCACAGAATTTATAACATCAAGAGCCGGTGGGAGCGCGAGTTTCCTGGCCAGCCTCTGTCCCCGCCCTCCAGCACGCAGACAGGACCCCGCTTGCTAGTCCCCGAGCAGAGCGCAGGGTCAGCGGTCCAGCCCTCCTCACACGATTGGCCCCGTCGCGGACACTGACCTGGGTGGGGATGCGCCCTGGACCCAGTCCGGGCGCCGCCGCGGGGCTGGCTGGCGCTGCCCACTGCACCCGCGACTCCCGGACGCCGCTCGCCTCCCGCTGTTTCCAGCAGGACGCGCAGCCTGGTCGCCTTGGAAACGGCGCTGCCTCCGTCACGGCGCGTGCGGGAGGTCAAAGGCCAGCGCAGCTAGTTCCGCTTCCGGTTCCGGGCCCACTTGTTTTCGGAAAGCTTGGTGCCGCCGGGAACTCGGCACAGCTCGTTTCTGCAGTTCAGGGTGGGCCGCGGGTCGCCCCAGGTCCGCTGCTGCAGACATGGCGGCCTCCACCGCGGCCGGGAAACAGCGGATCCCCAAGGTGGCCAAGGTAGGCGACGGCGAGGACCGCCTGCGTGCTGCCGGGGCGGGGGAAGGGGCAGCTGGGAGCCGGTCGCCCAGGGGCACGACCCCCGTCGGGGGCGAGTGCTGGGGCCGAGCGGAGTCTTCTGCACAGACTGAGTGAAGCAGGCGCGGCGCGGAGCGCTTGGGAGCTGCGCTGCGGAGGCGGCGACGGGCGGGACCCCGACGGGAGTGGGTGTGAGTGGCGGCCTGGCGGGGGGCGTCCCGCGCGGGAGTAGGCGAGGTGGGGGGTCGTCTTCCAGGACGTGACAGGTAAGCTGAGCCTTGCAAGCTGAGCAGGAGTTAGCCTTGCTGATAGGAATGAGAAGAGGCGACGGGAGTGGCCCCGGCATGATTTAATTCAGCAATAGCTTCGTTACCCCTTATTTTCATCGGTGGCTGATACGTAGCAGCGCTTTGTCTTGAGCCTTTACAAATTCGTTTCCTCTGGTCTGTTTTTCCAATTTAGATGGCTCTCTGAGCTGGACGTTTACGTATCCATTTAGATAACTCTCAAAAGTGATGGGCACAAAACGAGTAGCACAGTGTCTGGCGCTCAAGTGCTCACTAAACACGAGCTGTCAGGGTTCTCGTCATCAGTCCATGTGTGGCATTGAATCACTTTTTTTGTTTTTGAAACAGAATTTCACTTTGTCACCTTTGGTAAAGTGCTGTGGCATCACAGCTCACAGCAACCTCCAACTCCTGGGCTCAAGCGAGTCTCCTGCCTCCGCC